TTCACATCCCTCTCCACAGCACCACAAATCCCTCCCACACCCACAGGGCACTGCACCAAAGCCCCTACACTCCCATAATGTATCAGCTCACCCCCATCACAGCGCTCCTGACTGCCCCCTGATTCCCACCTCTCTTTCTTCAATCTGCCTGCTCAGCGGCCAAAAGCCAGCACCAGCCACTCCTGGCCTGTTCCTGGTGTGCCAGCTGCCCAGTGATGCACAACGTGCCAAGCACCCAGCCAGGCACCATCCTCGCTCCCCAGGCAGGAAGAGGAGAGGAATAAAGCAAAGCACAGCCTTATCTGTAATAACAGAACATGGCAAAGACCTAATTATTACACAGTGCTATGGGAGAAACAAAGGAAAAAACCCAACCACAGAAGCAAAAACCATCACCTTTACCCAAGTCTAAAACTTGCTGAGTTTATTGCCTACAAGAGCTTTAAGATAACACAAACTACAAATTCATCAACAGAAAGTTCTGCATAAAAAAGGATATAAAGAAGGGTTACTTTCTATGAAAGATAAATTAATCCTGTTATTTCAAATTCCCATAGCATCAGAATCCAACTCACTAACACAGGCAGCACTTAATGTGTATGCAGACCTGAACACACAAATATAATTTTCAAGAACTAGCACAGAAACTTTTTTCCTGGAACAAAGATTTAAATATCTGAACCCTCTCTTTGGAGGTACAGAATTGAAGTGCATATAAAAGGCCCTATTAGATATCCAGACTATGTCAGCCCCTTTCAGTATAAGCACAGAGATGCACAAATGTGTGAAATACAAGAAAGAACAGAAAGAATGAAACAATGTAAGTTGTGCCACAAACACATGAACTGATCTTCTGATAAAGGGGAAAAAAAACCGCACAGTCAGTCAAGATATTAAGTTCAAAAGCCTCCTGAAATAAAGAAAAAAATTTAAGACTCCTTTAATTAGTGTATCCTACTTCCATAACTATTTTTCAATTTCCACAATAAATTGCAGATTAGTAAATTGTTTTGCAGCTTCATGCAGTATTTTTCTAAAAGATGTTAATTTTAAGAACTTCCTGGAAAAAGATTTGAGTGTCTTGTAACTTCAGACACCATGGCCCTGTTTAAGACTTCATGCTTTCTTCCTCTAATTTACATCTGAAAACCATATATTAATATGGCACATGAACACCTCACTTTTAGTTACACTACATATTCTTTATGTCTCTTACTTAAAAATAGTTTTTCTGTTTGGACAATACATAAGCCACTTAGAAAAAAATATGTTTTCTATATGTCAGAAGTAGAATCAAAAGCTTTGAATTTGGAACTTCAGTAATTCACATTTTGTAACAGCCAGTTTCCATTTCCATTATTCCTGACTGACCGATAGACTGACAGATGTCTTACTTTAGAGATCCCAAACAGACTATTGGTATCTATTTCAGCCACATCTGTTCCTAAATAGCCTTGGCAACAGGCCACTATGCACTTGGAATTAATTTTAAGTCCTTTATTGCCAACTCTTTCACTGTTAAAATACATCAGTGATTCTTTTTCCTTATTGCTGCACTTACATAGAACATCTATAAATCTGTATTTTAGATGAATATTAACAAGAACTAAAGAATACTATAGATAAGAATAGCATACTTAAACAAAATATTGATTAGTTTTAATTAATTAAAAAAAATATTTTTATTTTATTCATTATTAAATCTATACTCAATAGCACATTAACTAACATTAATGGCACATTAAGGTCTTATTTTCTTGTTCATTAATTGAGAAACTATGTTCAATTACCAATACTTAAAAAGCAAGCTTTATCCAAATTATTACTATTATTATCCACATAGTCAGCCCAGCAAGCTGTCAGTCAGAGAATAACCTGATATACCATTCAGTTTAGTACACTACATAGACAAGAAATTACACTTATAGTTTTTCATAATGACCAAAATCCTCCAGACTTCACATACTGGTAAAGTGTTGGACACTGTTACACTTCCTACCTGACAGAAATCTGCTAAAAAACGGCAATTATTGTTAATCAGGAGACTCTATGGCAAACTTTAAAAACATGCTGAAGGCTTTAGAAATTATCAGAATTAAAGTCTTTATTTAACAACAAAAAGCCATATTCATAAAGAGGATACAAATGATCTTCTGGGAACTTATAAAAATCACATAATATTCAAATCTATACTTAACATAGTTTTCTCTGCTATAGGTTTGAAGCAGCACTCAAAATGAGAACCTCCACAGTTCAGGGCTGGATTATTTTAATAGAGAAGTCTTGCCTTTTTTTTGATTTCCATTATTATATTTACAGCATAGGAATGCCACATAGAAAGAAGCTAGATAAAAAAACAATCTACAACTGAGTGAGAGCTCTGCTTCTCATCGGGGTGCCCAGTGCCCCATTAAAAGCAAGCTACCTGCTACAGGCCAGAGGTTCCACGCCCATTGAGGAGAAAAGGCTCAGCTGAGCTGCACACCCAGGCTGTAGCTGCAGCCTTTCCAAGGGGCAGCTGAGCCCTGCCTCACACTTGCCCACATTCCCACCTGACACATTCTCTCCGCCAGGCTCCACACCCAGTCGCCTGCCCAAGACTCACTTCTGCCATAAGCTTTGTTATAATAAATAACACACAAAATTCATAATGGCTCATGCTTATTTGAGAGGTAGGAACTCTGCTGTAGAGTGAACAACGAAGGAAGCCATCAAAAATCATCAGCAAGCACGGGTAGCCAAAACCCTCTTGGAGAAGCTGCAGAAATCCAGGACAGAGTGAAGAAGGAAGTGCTTCTGATAATCAGGCTGCCTAGAGCCCCACAGGAACAGCACAACAGAGCAGAACTACACATACATCACTGGGACTTGATTGGGCCCAGGCACAGCAGATGTCCCCTGCTTGGGAACTTGGAGCTGCAGCTTTTGAGCTCTGGTAGAATCTGGAAGAGCCAAGGCTGCACGAACTACCACGTGTAAGAACAACTGGAACCGCAGAGCTGCGGATGACAAATGACAACATTAGCAAGACAGGAATTCATCTGGAGAACTATGGGGGATGGGAGGTTAGGAAAACACCAAGAAAGCAACTACCTTATAGTACTCTGATTTCAACAGACTATAGCAACTGCCGTAGAAGAAAGACCTTTCCATAAAGTAGGAAGAATTGCTACATACTAGTCCAACCAAGAGACATTCAGCAGCACTTGCAAAGCGTGAAGACCTGGCTTGACCTCTTAGAGCCTAAGGCAAACTACATTATGAAGCTTTTGAGTTGAAGAGAGCATGCATAAGCCAAATCCCAGTGGAAAGACTTGTCCAGAGAGCTGTTAGCCATCTCTGAACACTCCACTACTTATCTACGAATGAGACCCTACCACAGATGGCTCCTCCCAGCACCAGTACAGAACACTGCAGGGTAAAGGCTACTGGGAGCCAAGAATGAGAGAAAGGAAAAACATTCAAGCTCCAGAATCTGCATTTGACTGCTGCAACTGCAGCCTCTCAAAAATGAAATTACTCAGCAGCTCAGTGCCACGTAGTATAAAACCAAATTGTCCGAGAAAGAAGTTTCAGCATATATTTAATACATGTGCAGTAAAAGCCAAAATCCAGATAAAATTGGAAGCAGCTTGTCAGTGCTGCTTTCCATAGGACTCCCGAAGTCCTGCCATCTGCTACAGGTCTGACTTTAGGCACTGCATACTTCATTACCTTTCAGGAGCTATGAAAAGTTTCTGATGTCTGTATGAAAGTAGCAGCTGAAAGGGATCAATTTTTCTGATAAAAACAGCCAAACAGAAAAAGCCAAAACCACACAAATCCCAAGACACAGAATACACTCCCCATCTCTGGAAGCATGGAGCAATATACACCAAGATTTATTCTTCCTGTCTGCACCTTAATATCCTTCACTATTGACAATTACAGACCCTAGTTCCTGATATATGGCAATTCCACTTACATTAAAGAGGCAGAACATATAGTGACACTCATATTAGAGCTCTACACACAGAACTAAATAATTAATAAATCACATTGCAGATCACATACACAGAGACCTGTAGTTAGTCCCAAATGGGAAGGAAGAGAACCTTCAGCACTAACTAACAGCATTATTTAACCACCCAGACTGGCTCCTCAAGAGGAAAGACTGTGCACCCACACCTGGTGTGGGGGTGTTCAGAACTCAGCGGTCCTGCTGCAAAGCAGGTATTCAAGTGTAGCCCTGCATTAACACAGTTACACTGTACAGAGGAGAGGACTCAACAGCAGGCATGACTGTGTATTTATTTGTTCAGTTTCGGTAGCTCCGGTATCCCAACTTTAAATTTAACTTTCCTTCATTAAATGAACCATATTGACTTAATCTGTGAGCATTTGAGTACTCTGCTTCTCTAAATGCTTACTCTATGCATCTTACCTTATCTATGAGACCTTACCTATAGGAACTTTTAAGTTCTGTTCAGTACACTTCCAAAATAAACGTGGTATTTTAAGCCTGGACAAGCTGACCATGCCATCTCAGAAGGCAAACACGCTGCCTGGAAACTGCATTCCTGAATACAACTTTGATTTCTCTTTCATGTAAACACTGGGAGGTCACTGAAATAAACAAGCACCTTAAGGAGTGCCTATGCAGTTTTACAACTACATATGTGTACATAGTTTCTAGGAGAAGAATATCTATTTGGACACGTTCGAGCAGCATTCCTTTGCTTCTTAAACTTCTGTGTATAATTTGCTTCACTTGATCAAATCTTTTAACCACACTTTCTCAGCGTGTTGCCGTGTGAACACCACAGAGCAATGACGACCTGCAGCAGAAGCCTCATCACAAAACTCAGGCACATCCGCAAAACCATACTCTCCTCTCTGTGCTCTAGTTTATGTACCTGCCAAAGAGTATAAGCCGGGAAAAGCTGATGCCGCAGAAACAAAATTAAATCCTCTTACTGCTCTGCCTGGGGCTAAGAGGCCACAAAAAACATCCTCCCTACCTTCTGTCCCTTTCGTATGACCCACCAAGAAGGCAACTCTTGCCAGAGAGACTTGGTTCAGGTACAAGACACTCAAAGCGTTACGAACAATTTCTTTTTCTTTTCAGTCAGCAAAGGAACCTCGAAGGGAACGGAGGCGCCCGGCAGCTCTGCCTTTAAGCACTTTACTGCAATCCCGGTTTAGGGTGACTGCCCCGCGCTGCCGGAGAGCCCCGGCCGCCTGTCCCCGCTCGCCC